ACATATACCCAAATAACGTTTCAGAAGCCCTCTGTACAGCTATGAGACCTTTTGTTGAAAGCGTATCACACAAAGCACAAACCAAGCTATAACAGCACAACTTGACATGAGGAACCAGAAGGGAAACAATTCAACAAAGGGCATAATTAGATATGTACCATATTCCAGGTTTAAACAATATAAAAGAATGTGTCCTCATAAACTGGATGTTGTGTAAACTAGGGAGGGTAGCTGTATACACCAATTACATCAATGAGTTAAGCACTAGTGAAGTAAGATATTCCAGTTGTACAATCACAGCTTTAACGAATGTGAAATATTCTTAATGCACAGCATGATATGAAAGATCTCAGGCTTTCTTTGATCTTTTATTGAATAGGTAGGGTTACACTTTAGTTCCACATTAACTCTCTGGACACTGTAGATAGTACCTGCTAGTTTAATCTGCAATATGAAGTAAATAAAACTCAAATGATCATGCTATTCATTATGGGCTCTACTATATGATGAAAGTTAACATTTAACTATAATGTACCCTATTCAAATTACTATTTTCAAAACCCAAGTTCAAACCATCCCAGCTATTTAACAATGTCAAAAACCAGCATGACATATGTCATGGCTGGCTATGTCCATGGTTTATTTAGAGCTATAAGGATCTCAGGAGAACACTAAGGATAGCTGAGTTTAGTCAAAGTCATTGTTATCAGCCTTCCCACATTTGTATATCCATGAAGTAAAAGAAGTCTCATACAACAGGTGAAAAATTAAGTAACATCTTTTGTATTAGAAATAGCACACACAGTTATGGAATCTGATATCCACAAAGATAGAGGAAGTTTCATTTCCAAAATGAAAAATTGAATCATTCAGGATCAATCTTTGCATAGAAAATAACTTTAAAAACTACAAATAACACCTCAAGTGAAAATTTGTTTGAGGTACTGGAAAGCTAAGAAGAAGTGCAAACATGAAACCATGATGCAAGAGGGGAAAGAACCCCAGAGAGGTTAGTTCATTTAGGGCAAGTTCTACCTAAAATATCAGCACATTTCAGAATAGGCACCTGAGATTCATAAGAAAAGTTGTATGAGAATTGAACTGTTAGCAGCTTTTAGTGGGCTTTAAAGAGGGCTTTAAACCAGAAGAGAAATTCTTTCCAGGGAAAGGAGTTCCTGATTAATCTTACCCTGCTACACAGGAACTCTGAAAAGCTGTGATACTAGTGGTAGTACAACAGAACTAAAAATACTGAAACCTGGCATAGAAATTTAACTTTGAAATACCTCAACAGCAAGTAATCAAGATAATCCATGAGGTATGGCTCCTAATCTGTAACAAAAAGCAAATATATCTTCTCATACATAATTATTAAGTTTTCTCTAAGAGAATGAAATATATTTTCTGTCTAAACAAAAATAACCACACAATCAAAAATAAGTGGTAGGAAAAAACTAAGTGATAAAAATTGAACAACAGGGGCCCTCCCTGGTGGCGCAGCAGGTTAAAGCACAGCACTAAGAAGCTAAGGCCACTTCTGCATGAGTTCGATTCCCGCCTGCCCCAGAGGAGCTCCAAATGGCGCGGCAGACCTCTCCTGACCGCCCGCTGCTCCCCTCAGCAGTGTATTTCGTCGATCTGCCTGTTCTGCTCCCCACTCTGTCCCTGGTGAATCCTCTCACCATCCACATCTCTGGGCTGTATCCCAGTTCCATATGAATAAATAGATAAATCTTTACCAAAAAAATTCAACAACAGTAAGAAATAACACAAATAGAAAGAGACTATGAAGTTCTAAACTGAAGATCTGGCAGTGAATTACCAAGTTAAAAACAGTTCAATAAAAATTCTAAAAGTAAGCCCTTCCTGGTGGTGCAACTGATTAAAGCAAGACACTGCAAGCTAGATGTAGCTGGTTCAATGTGAGTTCAATCCCATCTGGGACCTGATCCACATGGCAGCAGACCTCTCCAGAGACGTCTTGCCCACTGCTGTGCTCAGCACTGTACTTCATCAATTGACTGTCTGGCTCCCCACTCTATCTCTGGTGAATCCTCTCATGGCCCCTAGACCTCAGGCCTATACCAGAGTGAAATATGTAATACATGAAAATAAAAATCAGTGGGCAGGCTTAATAGATCTCATTCAGCTCAATAAAGAGTAAGTGAATGAAAAGAGAGAAGAAAATATTAAAAAATGGAGAAATGAGTGAAAATTATCATAACAGACAAAGGAAACAGAGTGAAAAAGAAGTCATTACATATTATTTGAAGTCCAAAAAGAAGACACTGAGACTAAAGCAAAAACAGGTTTAAAAGAGAAAATAGAATAAAAATCAAACAGCAAACCAAAAGACATCAACTAAATTCATCATCAAAAAACTATATAATAAAACTGAAAACTAAGAGAAAAAATCTTTAAGGCAATTAGAGAAAAATATATAGTGCAATCAAAGAAAGAAAACCCAACAAAACTACAACTGACTTCTCTACAGGAATGGAAACAAAAATGATGAAATGGTATCTTCAAAGCACATAATGGAAAAAAATTGTTTTTAGAAAGTCCACCTAGAATTTCATAGCGAGTAAAACTTTCTGTGAACAAAGAAAGCGAAATAAAGACATTCTCAGACAAATACAGAGAAAAGCTGGAACCAAAGGATACATCCCAGGAAATCCTGAAGGAGATTCTTTCAGGTATACAAAGCTCACTCTAAAGGAAATTTTAAAGTATGTTCTTAAAGTAGATGTGGATTTGCAAAGATGTAGACAGAAAAGAAGAACAAAAAAGAGTAAGAACAGTGATAAATCTAAGCAAACAATTACTGTAAAAATGAATAGCAAAAGAAAGCTAGAAAACATGTGACTCCATTTAAATAAAAAGTTCAAAACAACCAAATAAATCTAGAGGATTAAAAATCAACATAGTGATCATTTTTTAAAAATCTTTAAGAAAGAGGAATAAATGAGTAAGAGCAAGAAATGAGGAGTTTGTTTCTTCACTGCAAATGTTCTATTTTTATATTTGAGTGGTGGTTACACAGGTATATTCACTTTGTAGTAATACAGTGAGCTTTACACTAATCTGTACATTTTTGTAGGTACAACAGACCCCTAATTTTTTTTCATTAAAAAAGGGAAAAGAGAGGCCTCCTGGTGATGCAAGGGGTTAAAGCAAGCACTATGAACCTGCAGCCACTGCAACCCAAGTTTAATCCCTGGCAAGGAGGTGACTCACAGGGCACAACAGACCTGCTCCCCTCAGCAGTGTATTTCAGTAGATCTGCCTGTTCTGCTCCCTGCTGTCTCTGGTGAATCCTCTCACTCTTGCACCTATGGCCTATGCCCCAGTTCTTGAATGCATAAATAAATACTTAAAAAGAAAAAAAGCTTCAACTTATCAAGTAAACATGCTCCACTCTAGAATTTATTAACTTTCGTGAAGTTAAACAGGACCATGGAGCTACATTCGTAAGTGTGTATTCAGTTTCTGTTTAGACAACAGGTAAACTGAACAATGGCACAGATTTTATGTAGTGTCAACCCTCCAGTTAGCTAAGAGAGGCCCCAATCTGTTAAAATCATTGTATTAAATTACACAATACTGCAGACATTCCTGATTGATACAATTTAAATAGGAGTCCTTGGGATGCCTGGAAAAATCTAGGACTTCATATAAGAAAAGTATGATCCATTGCCTTTTCACACATTAAATGCCACATTAACATACGCTATTCACAAAGATCTTGTTACTTCAACAAAACAAAGACATTATATGTTTATCTCCCCAGCGCACCTAACAAAGAAAATGGCACCCCCCCCCAAAAAAAAAAACACACAGGGAGAAGGTGTATTTTATGACCAGACACATATGCAGATAAGCAAATTTTCTGCAAGGAGCATAGTGACTAAGTTGATCTCTTTAAAAATAGGGTAAACCCAAACAAGATCAATAAATTGAAACTCCACACATCTATAGCAGAACTATAAGCACAATGGAGAAAAATCTTTACTAAGAAAGACTCAAGTTGAATAAAACATGTGAAGGGTAAAAAATGGTGCTACCATTTCCTTATCTTGAAAAACAAAAGTTACTGTAGAAAATAATTACACTTTGTTCCTGAAGCTAATAAATTTGCAACTAATAGTGGCAATTTTCTTTTCAGAAAAAAAAAAATGGACATCACATGTATAGGTTACTTTAAGTCCACAAGGACAGTTATTTCATAAAAAGAAATCACTGAATACTGATTATCAATACTCTAAGTTTTAAATAACAAAGCTCAAAAATTAGGGACATTTTAACAGATACCCTGACAATCAAAAGAAGACACAAATCAGGCCCTCCCTGGTGGTACAATGGGTTAGGACGCAGCACTGCAAGCTACCCACACCCACCCCAGTGCAAGTTCGATCCCTGGTCCCGGAGGTGAACCACATGTTATGGCAAACCTTCCCTGTCTCACCAGCTGCTCCCCTCAGCGTTGTACTTTCTCGATCTGCCTGTTGTGCCCCCCACTTTGTCTCTGGTGAATCCTCTCACCGCCCCTGCACTTCTGGCTTATACCCCAGTTCTGTATGCACAAATAAATAAATCTTAAAAAAAAAAAAAAAGACACAAGTCTTCATAGCAACAGTAGTTACAAACTTGTAAGATGATCTGAAAACATTTAATGTAGAGTATGCCTCAGAAACACCAACAGAATTTTTTTTGGATTTTGCAAATATCATTTAAATAAATAACATAAATAAAAACATAAATAAAAGCCATATGAGAAGTAAACTATCTCTCAAATGTTCATAATAAAAAATTCTTTATTACCACTATGAGTATTTCAAATTTAAATAGCAAAAATTCTAAAATGTTGGATAAGAGGTGCAAGAACATATTATACAAAGTGCCATATACCAGACAAAAACTTAACATTTACATAATTTCACTGCCATGACCACACTCTTTATCATCTGCATATAAAATACAACTTTTTGCAGAGTTCTCACCCCTTCTTGCTTGTGGGCTTCACTAAGTTTTTCAGTCAACTCTTCCAAAGCTTTTTTTGTTTCAGCATCCGATCTAATCAAACCAAGAAAAATATTTTAAACTGGGTATCTGAGAAAATATACACAATTAGCATCACAATATTACAAAATACTGTTGTGGCTCTCAAACATAAAACATCTGGAAGATTGTTAAAAGACAGGCTGTTAGACTGCGCCCCTCCTCCCCAGATTTCTGAATCAGTAGATCTGGTACGGGGCACGGGAATGAGCACTTCCACAAATTCGTAGATGATAACAATACTGCGGGCTTCGGCATTCCACTTTGAGAACTGCTGCTGTAGTGAAACATCAAACAAAAGCTGCAATAGCTCCCACTTTAAATTAAGGAAAAAGGGGGAGGGGACAAAACTCTTGATCACATTCTCTCAAACAGTTCATAATCATAAAGCACACAGTACCAATTGTGTCTTCACTACACACTCTGTCTCTTCTACTGCCTTTCTTCCCCATCAAATTAGTAGCTTCCTACGCAAACAGTAAAAGAGTACAGAAAGACATATAAAGAAAAACAAAGATCTTTCTTGCTTACAGTTCCTTACCTCTGGTCCCATGCCCCACGGGGAACCACATGCAAGCATTTCCATTCATTCTTAAATTTTTTGCTGGTTGCTACCATCATTTTCAACTATAGACATTTTTGATTGAATCCTGTTTTAAAATGCTCATTTTACACTCCTCTCCACTTTCAGGTAAATTTATTTCTATTTTTAGTTCTTCTACTGGTTACCTGTATAACATCTATTTATACCTTTCAGAAGTTATAGTAAATTGGAGCTTTTTGTTTATATTCCATGGCCACTATTTTTATTCTATTTCAGACCTGGATCATTAACTTTGTGGTGCTTTTGTTTTTTTTCCAGAGTTTCGTATCTTTTGGCTATATGTGGGTCTTATTTAGCAGATTATTTTCTCTCCCACTTCCTGAATCATCTATAGCACATCTACCGTATTCTTGTTAACTACATTCTTCTCATAGGACACTACTTACTATTCTAATTTCAGTGAATACTTCACGAGTCTGTTATATAACAGACATTCTGGCTTAGTTTCACTCTTTCCCATAATCCCTATCTCACTCTTACCAATTCTGTTTTTTATTTTGTAGGCTCATAGGTAATTTCCTCAGGAAGAAGTTACTGAAAAAGTCAATTTTTCTAAAGTTTAAAATATCTAAAAAAGGGCCCTCCCTGGTGGCACAGCAGGTTAAAGCACAGCACTAAGAAGCTTAAGCCACTCACCATGAGTTCAATTCCCACCCTGGAGGTGACCTACATGGTGTGGCAGACCTCTTCTGACCAGCCCGCTGCTCCCCTCAGCAGTGTACTTTGTCAATCTGCCTGTTCAGCTCCCCACTCTGTCTCTGGTGAATCCTCTCACCCTCCCCATCTCTGGCCTGTACCCCAGTTCCATATGAATAAAATAAATCTTTAAAAAAAAATCTAAAAAGTTCTTTTTTCTTGTTTTTTTAATTTCCATGTGTTCCTGTATTTTGCCCACCTCTAGCTGTTCCTTCTCAGCCAACTCCTCTTTACATAAAAGATTTCTAAATAATGGTACCCTCTGTACACAACCCTATTGTGATGCTCTGCTGACACTTTGCCACTAGGTATCACCTATTTCTATGGTTCCAGATATCATTTCTACCTGTTGATCCCTCCTTAATGTCCCATTTCTAAGAGAGACTTTGAGCACCAGAGTAAATATCTAGTTGCACAGTCAGGTCCTTACCATTGGATGTTTCGCAGGCATCTCAAGCCTACATATTCCAGCCAAGCTCACTATTTATAGACCTCACCTACCCCTTCCCACATTCGGTTTCCACATTTCAAGAAGTGAAATTACCATATAGCCAGTTACTAAACTCAGAAATCTATAAGCCATCCTTGATATTTCCTCTTTATCTAACCAGAGGAATCTCTAAATTGTCGAATGCTGTCTCTTCAGTCCCCCCAAATTTTTTTTAAATACTTTCCTACCCATCTCTCCCTTGCTCTCTAGTCAAGGCATCATCTTTCATGTGTTAACATAATTAAAATTTCACAGCTAAGGGCCTCCCTGGTGGCCCAGAGTTTAAGTCTCAGCACTATCACCTCTACAGCATGCCAGGGAGCTAACTCACCTATGGCGCAGCAGACCTCTCTTGTCTGACCCACTGCTCCCCTTAGCAGTGTATTTCAGTAAATCTGCCTGTTCTGATCCTCAGTCTGTCTCTAGTTTTGAACTATTTTATTCCTAAAATACTGGTACAAAAGTGCAACACTGTTTTTAAATTTCACATAAACATGTCAATTACAGAACCTATCTTATCTTCTAACAATTCATGTTTCCAGTAAAAATCATATTCTGCTTTTACCGGCTTCTTCTGGCAAGTTCCCGGTTCAAATCATCTCCAAGGCGAACTTGTTCACTGCTGAGGTCTCGGAGGGACTGATGAAAAGCATGAAGCTAGCAAAGACAAAACATAGTTATCCACTTAGATTTATCCATTTAGTGTTCTATTGAATTCTTCCATAAAGATTCACTAAAGGTAAGAATAAGAACTTATTCTTTGCAATAATGTCCAAGTTTTATAATGCTATCTGTTCTGAGAGAAAATATTTTTTCTAAGAAAAGCAATTTTTAATAACATTCTCTATTGTGGCTAACTCGATAGACCTCAAGTGTACCTGTCTGCCCTGGCTGATGTTGCGCATGAGCGAGCACACTCCCCAGTGAGGCCAACAAACAAGCCAACAGAGCATAGTGCACTCTGTCCTGCAAACAGCTGCAGCCCACTACCTTGTTTTTAGCAGAAACAGCAAGAAGCCAGCAGGCCCTGTACAAATATGCACCCCACCCCCGTGTCAGGTACACTTCCTGTTTTTCTCCGCGTACAAGGCATGTCAGACCCTATATATACTCAAGGTTCATCCTAATGAACAGACTCCAGACTCCTGTTTCGCCTTCTTGCGGGTCTGAGTCTCCTATGTTAGGGGGACCGTAGCTGTCAGCGCCCCCTCCGTGGGATAGCAAGTCTACGGCACAGTATTTCAAACCTTAGAGATACCCTTGAAAAGAGTTAGCAAACCTTCTTCTGTAAAGGGACCAAGAGTAAGTATTTCACCCTTGCAGACTATTTAGACTCTGTTAAAATTGCTCAATGCTACCATAATAACACAAAACAGCCATAAACAAATGAGCAGCTATATTACAATGGAGCTGTATTCAAACAGACCACACACCAGGTTTGCCAATCCACACTGCAGAGAAACTCTTGCCCACATACACTGGGAACCACATTTGGAATAGCATTATTCATAACAAGAACAGAAAACAAACCAAATATCCATTAAGAATAGAACAGAGACAGATAAACTATAGCACATTCCTCCATTGGAGTGTCTCACAGCATTGACAATGAAACCACCAAAGCTGCCTACTATTTACTAAGATAAATTCCAAAATATAACATCAAATGAAAAATACATGTCATAACATAAAACATACAATATTCTATTTAAGCTATAAAGCTTAAAAGCAGGTAGTACTAAACAGTAAGTATTAAAAATGAGGGTTTTTTTTTTGTTGTTTTTTTTAAATATTTATTTATTTGTACATACAGAACTGGGGTACAGGCCAGAGGCTCAGGGTTGGTGAGAGGCTTCACCAGAGACAGAGTGGGGAGCAGAACAGGCAGATCGACAAAGTACACTGCTGAGGGGAGCAGCGGGTGGGTCAGGAGAGGTCTGCCACGCCATGTGGTCACCTCCGGGGCAGGCGGGAATCGAACTCATGCGGAAGTGGCTCTAGCTTCTCAGTGTAGTGTTTTAACCCGCTGCGCCACCAGGGAGGGCCCAAAAAAATGAGTTTTTTTTAACAGCAAGAAAGTGAATAAAAGCCAGGGTTGTGAACAACCAAGTGTCATGAATGACTTAATCAGGATAAGCCATTTGGCTGGGAAATAAGCGGCTCACAATTTAACACAAGAAACAGATAAGTGAACAAAACCACAAAGACTGTGCCAGAGTACTAGGAAAGCACACATTCATCTGAGCTAGCGAACACCTAAGAAAATGAACCCAAAATAAAGGAGAACAATTAAAAAAAAAAAAAGCGGAGGAAGTAGTTGATGAACAAAAGATCATTCACTTAGGTTTTTAGGATTCTTTCTTGACATTTCCAATTCCTACCTTTCCCAGTGGTCATCTGATCCTCAAGACTTTATTTCCATTTTATCTACCAAATCACTTTGAAATCTATGCCCCTTCTCTCCAATTTCATTTATCCTAACCCAAGTGACTATCACCTAATCCCAGAACACAGCACTATACTCCCAACTGGTTTGCCAATACTGACCACATTTTCTACATCAGAACCAGAGTGGTCTTTCCAAAGTAACTGCTATTCCTATACAAGGCTTTATATGGCCTCAGTCCTTTATATTTCTGTAGCTATATGCCCTTTTCAAATTGCTCATAGGTGTTATCTCCCTTCCTGCAATGGGATTTGTTTTACCTTGAATGATTGCTGCCCAACTTTTGGATCTCAGTTCAATTAGTCTTTCTTTAGGAAGCCTTTTCAGAACATCACACACTTCCATAGTCCTATGTTTCTATTACAGCATGCATCTCAGTTCATAATTATGGGTGTATTAATGTACTTATTTGGTTCATTTCAAGCTCCCCATCCAGACTACAGATTCCATGAAAAGCCAGTTTTTGCTCATCACTGTTCCTAAGCACAAACATAATCCCCAGGACAGAGGACTAAATAATTAGGATAATGTTCTTTGTTCTAGGTTTAATTATACAACCCATGCTAGCAAGTTTCACTTACCAGAAACATAACACAATCAAGGAAAAGACTCTACAGAATGTTTTCTCATGCACATAGTTCTCAGTTACAGATGGATTTCCTAGCATACTTTGAACCTTCAATATTAAAATTACCAAAATAAAGATGTCAAAAATCAGCAATATCCCTTAGTCCTTTCCAAAGTAATCTACTTGCCCCAGGCAACAACAGAATTATCTTCAGCTCTTGGGAGAAATTTTAAAAAGAAGCAAAAAAAATATGTCCATAAATTAATCTTCAGAAATCTTTAGTGAAAATAGAGGCAATGTATATAACATTTCTTTCGTAACAAGAAGTAGCTCCATTAACAAGAAGTAGCTCCATCAATGATTCAACAATCAGAAGAACATTGATGGAAAACCAGTATCCATGAAGGACTCATTTGTTCATACAAAATAGAACTCAGCAAAATGGAAAGTACCTGACTTAGCAAGGCTTACAGAAGAGTGTGAGCCACCAGAACAAGAAAAAAAGATGTGCCCAACAAAGCTCGCCCATTACAAAATTCAAAAGAAATATCTGATAATGGTTAGCGCATTGAAAATATATTTTATTTGGTTTCAAACAAAACAAAACAAAGGATGAGTATAAAGTCACCAATGATCAAACTCTCCATTAAAATTTAGCTAGCAACAGAAAGGCACAAAGTACCTGGACTGCGTCATCAGTGTCCCGAACAAATCGGACACCACTTCTGGACCTAATTCGTTTAAAACCCTGTTGATCTCCATAGTCCTTGAGAGGTGAGGTAGGTGGGAAGCGGTGGCTCTCTTTGTAGTTGGAAGAAAAGAGGGGGGATAAAAATACTGCATGAGAAGAAATACTCTAAAACTGAATTCAGCACATATGTAGAAGACATGACTATATAAATAAGCCCTTAACCCAGGCTACTTCCCAATATTTTTCTTTGGCCATAAAATTCCACAGAATTGGCTCTTAATGCAGCTGAAATGAAAAACAGGAATAACCTGGAAACAGAATAGAATAGAAAGTTCTAATTTGCTATACTTTTCATAGGAGTAAAAAATAAAAAATAAATTATAATTAAAACATATAATTTAATATTGACAAAACAGAATCTTTTTGTTTTGACTACATAAAGAAAAATATTCAATGTCCAATGGTTAAAAATGTCCAATTTTTAACCATTGTAGTGATCAAAGACAAAAGTAACAATGGCAGCTATTAATGTTCACTCCATCTAAGTCACTTCTCTTCACTGCACTCCTTTCTTTACTATCTTGTCTTTTCTGTCAAACATAAACATAAATGGTATATGAAAGTATAAGTAAGATCAATTCCAGACAAACTAAGTGGTTTTACTTTAATCTAGCCATGTACATCATGCTACATGTCAAGATTCACCTGTTCTTAACAAGTATCACAGGATATGGGCAATCAGACTTATGAAAAACAGTGATGTTAGAACAAGACACTGCATACAGAAAGTAGATCACACAGTAATTCCTATTTACATGTTTGTTTTGACTGGTAGCAAAATAATTAAAACCAGTTTTTGTCTGGTCAACCCAGTCAACCTCTATGAGGTTAATGGAGTCTGAGAAAAACGGAAGCCACAGAAAGCATAACAAAGTTCCATTGAACATATTTCAAAATATTCACTACAGAGGGCTTGACAACAGCAATGTCTAAGAGCTTTTTTAAAGATTTTATGCAAGGGCTGTATTTCTCCAAAAAGTAAATGTACTCAATACATACATAAGAGGTATTTTATAGTAAAACGTTTACCTGTCACAGTGCCACCATCGAGGTCACTTGCACTCAGACTTGTAACAGAAATACTTCTCCCTCCTGAGTTTCTCAATAAACGTTGACTCCGCAGTTGGCCAATTGATTGTTCCAAGCTTTCTTTTAACTAAATTAAAGAGCATAATGAAGGGAAATTTACTCTCTTTAAAAACTTCCAAATGCAAATAGACTTAGAGATTTTTAAAGCTCTTTCCAAAACCTCTGAGCTCCCAAAGGGAATTTACATCAGTGAAAATTTTGAACTAAGCTATATAAAGATAAAAATAATAAACATAAATATTCTAAGAACCAATTCTAACATCTAGTTTTAAATAGCACCTGTGACTACCTAATTCATCTTTCTATTACCAAAATGTGAACAAAATGTGTACTATCTAAGGGCTTATGGAACAAGACAGAAACGTGTAATTGACATGCTGTCCAGCATTGCTTAGAAACACAACAAGCCAGTACACATTAAAGAAAAAAGCTTCCTACCTTCTAAGGTTTCCTTCAGAAAAACAGGAAACTGAACCACTGTTACAGTGATGCTGCTACTGAACCAATGGCCTCTGCCCAGCACTTTATCAGACAGAACTTCTCTTTCATTCATTCAAAGACATCAAATCCCAGAAAACCCTGAGCCCGGATATTAGATTGTTAGTACTAAGGATTACAGTTATCCAAATGTTTCCTTCAGATTTTTAGGGAGTCAGATAAAAGGAGATGTAAGAAGGCATCTTTTTAAATCTAAAGAGTTATATATGAAGACATACTAAATATTGAAACTGAAGTCCAACATTGTACATACACCTTAAAAAACAGATTCAGGCCCTCCCTGGTGGCGCAGCGGGTTAAAGCACAGCACTGAGAATCTAAAGCCGCTTCCGCATGAGTTCGATTCCCGCCTGCCCCGGAGGTGACCACATGGCGTGGCAGACCTCTCCTGACCCGCCCGCTGCTCCCCTCAGCAGTGTACTTCGTCGATCTGCCTGTTCTGCTCCCCACTCTGTCTCTGGTGAATCCTCTCACCCTCCGCATCTCTGGCCTGTACCCCAGTTCTGTATGAATAAATAAATCTTAAAAAAAAAAATCTTTAAAAAAACAGATTCAATTAAAAGTCGGGGAGAGGGAAAAAAAGCTGAATAAAATCTACACATTCTGAGTTGCTAAAAAATTCTGGTCTAGATATCTTATCCAAGAATAAATAAAGAATAGTAATAAAAAATAACTAGTGGATCCATAGAATAAACAATCGATAAACCTTTAAAGGTATCATATAGAATAACTAGTCAAAATACAGCATTTCCTAAACTCAGTTCAATTTAAACTTATTCTGAGACATCTGGTTTCCCTGGAAAAGAGTAGAGAAAGAAGGTTTAAGGGAAAGCAGAGATGAAACAGTAAATGAGCCACATATGAGCAAAGTCTTTGTCATTCTCACTGCTTGAATTTATCTTTTCTGAAGAAACAAGATTAAAATTCTAACTTAAAAGAAGAGCTGGAATTTCAGCTGTCGACTTCTGCTGTTGATCTCACTTTTGAAAAAAAGGCGAACATTTCCATCTCCTCTGTCCCAGCTCCTCTAAATGTATGTAGGATACCATGCTGCCTCACTGCTTGCCAGCAGGAAAACCAACATATCAAGGAAACATATAGGTGAGGCCCAGGAGAACCAAGGTCTAAGTTGAGACTAATTTATACATAAATCAGACCATATGTAATATATGACTAAGCCAAAGATTTTACAAAATGAACACAAACTAGTATATCAGTAATCTACGAAAAAAACTCAAAATAAAATTAATGTTAAAATTAATAAATTCAAATCTCAACTAATATGAGAAAAATACTAGAAAAGCAAAATGACTGTAAGAACACACAAGTTAATGCCAGAAGCAGCGTTATTAACTTTTCCTATGTTTATCTCTACTATTCACATCTTTTTAACTGAATCTGAGGTCATGACCCTTTTGATGCAAAGTTAGCTGCTCTTTATTATTGCTTCTTATTTGAAAGGAACCTGCATTTACTAACTGCACATTTTTAAAATTCTCTCTTCAACACTGATTATCAATAATTTCACTACGATGCAACTATGAGTTTATTTGTAGCTAACTGATTTATGACCCACAGAAATCATGGAATCTGTAACTTAATTTTACATATTATGAATGCTCAACCAATCATCTGATTGAATACTGTTTCTACACCATTCTATACCGCCCTCTCCTTCTGGAAACCCACTTGCATTTAAGTTATTGTATCTTTTTACCACTCTAGAGTGCCTGGACTCTTTTCTGTCCCTCCTCTTTGTGCTTATCTATAATACTGCTGCTATTCTTTTTGTTTAAATATGAAAAGTTTGAGAGATCATTTAAAGTTCTTCCTTCTGGAGGGATCTGGCTTTGCTTCTAGCAGAAAGTACTGCTAAGGTCACTGAAAATCCCAAATCACCTCAATCCAATTAGTGAAAAGAGAAGATTCTAACTAAGCTTCTGTCCCCGTGAGGGCTGGGCTATTTTCAGTTTATCAATTCTCTTATTTTCAGTTCATCATTTCTCCTAGGCTGTAAGCTATGAAGTCTCAACTGAAAGTTGAACTCAGTTGAAAGAGTTCGGGAACCCCTGTTTTGGTTCCCTAGTCCCAAGAGTCTCTACTGGTGGTTCTAATCCCAGCCCAGCTGCTTTAAATCACCTCTTTTGAAATTGGCTACTACCTTGAGGGAGGAAAAAAGGCCTAAATGCAAGGCCCACCCTTCTACACTTCCAATTTTGTCAGATCTTGACTATAAAATCTCTCACTGTCCTAATAGCTCTGTCATGATTTTACTTTTTTTTTTTCTGTGTTTCTTGTGTTCTGAGTAGGAGAGGTAATCTGAAATAATCTTTCCTACCAATGACAGAAGCAAAATGTGCCAGCCTTCTTGGCACATGCTTTTATTTGCTAATAAATGCCAAGTTAATTGTAACTAAAAACTAAATGAATTTTTGTTCATCACACACACACACACAATCCCTAACAGAAACAAAGTCACTCCAGGACATACAAAAACATTGCAGAAATGACACATTATTCCCAAAATCTAGAAAGATTAACAGAATTTGGAAAATTAATCATTTCAGAAGTAATACAAAGACTGAGGCAAAATATTTGGCAATCTCCTATAAAACTCTTTAAAAAGCTATCATAAGTCATTTGAACCATGAACAATATGATATATAAAAATCAAAAATGACTTATAAATGAATGAAGTAGATTTCTAATTACTCTAGCAATTATTACAGCAAAATTCACTTAAGCTACAAAACTAAAAACGTAATAGGTTTACAATCTACACTTAAAAGTAGAAATAACACAACAAACACCACATAAAATGTAATCATGGTAAAATAGATGCAATTTGATGAAAGCTCAATGAATGCTTTTATAAAGAGTTCATGAGACAGACCTCTCAGTGTACTGACCAGCTGTTGAGTCCATTTCCTTTCACTTCCCCTTCCTTGAAATACTATAAAACCAGCATCACGGAACAAGATGAGAAGCAGCAATGTTACTATCCCCATTATGAGCTGTTTTCCTGTATATCTCATTTGTAACTCCATAAAATGATTCAAATTTCACTTTCAGTATGAATATTTTTTCATTTCATTGCTGCACTGTCATCTTCACTGAAGTTTCTTTCTAAAATTATTATTTTTTATAAATTTACCAAGATTATCATTGGACTAGGAGATGGTACTCAACTATGTACATTTTCACTCTGTGATCAATTGCCAAGAGTTCAAAAATAATAATTTGTAATTTACATAGTAATGTGTAAACTGAAAAGCAAGCAGCAACACTTGTACTTTACACAGTCACTCATTGCTAATATACTGTTTATTGAAATTTGAATTGTGTTAAGAACTGGTATTTTTTTTTGACCAAACAAGATTAATAAAAATTCATAACTCAAAAACCCAAAACCAGAACAGCTGCATTTACTTTCAAGTTCGCAATCCCTGCCCCATACATTCTGTAGAGGTTTCATAGCCATTTTCTGGGGGAGGCTATGCTAACTAGCTCACCAGAAACTTAGGTTTTGCATTTTCTTAAGTAGAAAATATTGACTTTCCAAAATTCGTAATATTAAGCTTCTTGACCTAGAAGGTTTAAGCCACTAGAAAAGTAAGTACTAACTCCATAGATAGTATCAAGAATGTCTAAGAAGTAAATCATTCAATGAAATTTAGCTTTAAAATAAGACAAGATGAAAAAATGAGAAAGAATCACATGTGTAAAGTTTCTTGGTCAATATGAAGGGTCAACAACTGCTTCACCAGAAACCAGTGTATTTCATACACATTCTTTTTTTTTAGATTTATTTATTTATGCATACAAGAGCTGGGGTACAGCCAGAGGTGTGGGGGTGAGGGGGTGTGAGGATTCACCCAAGACAGAGCAGGGAGCAGAACACGCAAAACTAGTAAGACAAACACTGCTGAAGGGGGCAGCCAGTGGATCAGGAGAAGTCTGCCACTCCATGTGGGTCACCTCCTTGGCCAAAGATCAAACTCATGCCATGGTTACCATAGCTTCACAGTACTGTGCTTTAATCCATTGCATCACCAGGGAGAACTCTACATTCCTTTTTTTAACAAAAGGATTTATTTTCACATTGCTTACAGCAATGACTAGGCCTAGTGAGTAACTATACAGAATTGGGAGAAAACTAGGGCATAGTCCAGGGATGCAAGGCAAGAGAGGATTCACCAGGGACAAAGTGGGAAACAGATCAGGCAGATTGACTAAAATACACCGCTGAGGGTTGCAGTGTGCCCGACAGGAGGTCTGCTGCACCATGTGGGTCACCTCCCTGGCCAGCAATAGAAGATAGAATTCAGGCTGCTGTAGCAACAGCATGAGAGAGCTGAGACTTAAGCTCTACATCACCAGAGAGGACCCCTATTTAATAATAATAATAGTCACTAATAAATTCTTGAAAGAGATCTACCACTACATGCACTAAAAGACCATAAAAGAAAGAAACTGAAACAGTGATTACTAATATATAAATGTCTACCAAATGTTAATCAAATAATTAGCTTCTTCTATACAAACACAACTTTTGAAAAAAACAGCGAC